AGTTGTTCTGGTTCACTGCAAATCTGTTTATGTATCTTATAAGTGATGAGCAACTTGCTAATATTAGATCACCAAATGTTCAATTTATATTGAATAACTTCACCACCACTTAAAATCAACCACTGTTAGGAGATTCTTTATTTCTATTTTTCTTTCTTTCTTAAATTACTCTTAAACTAAAATGAAGTAATTTTATTTTGTCATCCCAGGATATAGAGGTCATTTAATAGCAAATTTTGTATGGCCATTATAAAAAATCTAGGGAAGGCTGTAATTGAGTCTGCCCTCTAATGGAATCAATTGGTAATTTTGAGGAGGGGAGGGAAGTAGTAGATCCATGTATTTTGTTTGATGGGATAAAAATTAGTCGTTTGGGAGTATTCATATTCTTACAATTTCCCCAGTTTACCAAAGAGACTTTTCATTTGACAATATAACACCCTCTTCCCTTTCCCTCCCTTCCCTTTAGAAAGTTACCAGTTCAGCTCCTAGATTTTTGTGACAAAGTATTGGTGAATGAGTGGAAAGGGACTGGACATGAAAAGCTGGAAGAGATTTAAGTTGATATATATAATAAAGTGCTGGAGAGGAAGGAGAGATTATGAAATTACTGGGCTGAGAAGGGGAAAGTGTTTAGTTGGGAAGGCTTTAATGAAGGAGATACTTTGGAGAGAATGGTGTATGAAAAAAAATCGAAGGGAAGGGGGAAAATATTTGGAGAAAGGAGATGAAGGAAGGGTTGGTTGTGGATATAAATTGAATCTCCTTTATTGTACTTTAAAAGACAAGTAGAGAGCGGAATTTCTTTTAATCTTGCAGGGAACAAGAAGTGCTCCAATTATGTGTTGAATTGTGTTTCTTTACTTCTTCAGAGGGAGAAGTCAGTTTGGGTGATATTGAATTTGAGGTTCCTGAAGAATCTCAGACAGGGGTGTTCAAAAGAAACATGGAAAAACAGATTTAGAACTCTTGAGAGAAGAGTTGTGATTAGAGAAGAAAATTTGGGAGCTACTATCAAGTGTTTATGGGTGACAATGAGACCAAGAAGGAACTTGCAGAACACATAAAATAGAAGGTCTCAGAAAGAAGTGGTACCAAGAGAACAGACAAAAATAGCATTTCTGTGGTAGGGTAAGAATTCAGAGAAACTGGTCTCTGGGAAGGAAAGGGAGGAGGTAGTTTTAATAGTAGAGGATGGTCGAAATGTCAAATGCTGCAGAGGCAGGAGCCAGCTCAGACTGGCTTGTAGAAGTCAATTGTGAAATTTTCAGGATTTTTGTGAGCTGATTGTTATCCACAGCCATTATTAAAAATTAAATGGTATATACTTGCAATTTAACAAGTGGTCTTAAAAACAGAAGTAATGAACACACCAGTTGCATCACTTCCTAATTATTTTACACTTTTGAGGTGTTCATGTTGATTGTATCTGTATTGTGTAGATACTGTATACTGTTGTGTGCTACTACAGCTCTTCCTCATTCTGTTTTCAGTGACATTACATTGGTAACCTGAAATCAGTCCTGGTGGGAGCGTTTACACCACAGATATTGGCAAACACTATAAGTCAGAGTGTTTTTCCCTACAACAGTGGTTCTCAACCTTGGCTGCACCTTAGAATCACCTGGGAATCTTTTTAAAATCCCGATTTCTGGGCCTCATCCTCCGGATATTCTGTTTCTTTGTTATTAATGTTGTGACCCCACCCCATAACAAAGAAACAGAATTTCCAGAGGATGAGGCCCAGAAATTGGGATTTTAAAAAGATGCCCAGGTGATTCTAAGGTGCAGCCAAGGTTGAGAACCACTGCCCTACAAGGAGAGCCATTGTTGAACCTTTACCAGTGCACCACTGGATAAATAGAATGAAAATCAAGAAAAGTTAAATGGCTTTAGCAAGAAGGAGCTAACATGTTACTTTTGCTTGACTTTCAGTAAAAAGATAGGTGACAAATCATAGTAAAGTGGGTTGAGGAATGAAATAATGGAAAGTGAAGAAACAAATGTTCAAGTAAGTTTGAGAAGAAGTGAGTTAAACAGTTAAGCAGATTGTTATTGTTGATACTGTGTATGTTTTTAATTTAGGGCTTACAGACTATATACAATATTAATGTACTTTATTAATCTCCAAAGATGAACAACATATGCAAATATATTTTATGGTGGAAGCTTTTTTGTTGGAAAAATCTTAAGAACACATTTGGAGAAATGCTGCTATAGTATTTCACAATTAAGTTTGAAACAAATATTCTTGTTATTAAAGTTTCTTAGATTTTTTAAAGAAATATTATCAAGAATGGATGTTGAATTCAAGGGTTATTTTGCATTTTTGAGATAATCATGTTTTCTTTTTAAAATTTGACTAGTGCTCTGACCATTATTTTAATAGGTTTTCTAATATTAAGTTGTCTTTGCCTTTCTGAGATAAATGTAACTTGATTATGGTGATTTATTCTTTTAGTATACTGTTGAATTTGTTGATTAGCATCTTATTTATAATATTAGCTTAATACATGGTATTTGTATTTTTCTCTTTGTTCTTGTTTTTAATATCAATATTATACTACTTTTGAAAAATTAATTTGGTCACTATATTTTTTTCTACTCAAACAGTTTATATAGCAAGAAAATTATCTCTTCCTTAAAATTTGGGGGGAAAAAATCTATAAAATTATCTAGGCACAGAGCTTTTTGGGGAAGTAATTCTTTGATAAGTTTTCACTTGTTTCCATTGTTAATTTTTTAAAAAATTTCTTACATCAACTTTACCATTTATATCATTTTGGACAAACTAGTCTGAGTAAATTGCCCTTTTGCTGTATTATTATCTGCTTAAATTCTGGTAAAAATCTTATTCAGATATTAAAAAGTTGGATGAGTAGATATGAAAAGCCCCTACCTTACGTGGGTTCTGTTGAAATGTGAGGGGCTTGTCTGCTATCTTCACAGCCTCATTCTCTGACTTACAGGGGTGAGTAGATTTATTTAAATCTAATGAATATAAGCCAATCTGAATTGGCCAGAGGGAGGACATGGAAAGACTATAGTCCTTGATATTTATTGCCTCCAGAATGGATCTTGTTTCTGCCCTATATTAAAATTAATGCTATATATCATAGTATAATTTTATAGTATTTTAGTATACTTATTTATAAAATAATGTAATAAATATTAATATACTTTATATTAATAATTATATAACTTTTTAATTACAATTTAACACATATACCTATATTTTATTAATATGAATATTATAAATAAAGTTTATATTTATAAAATAAAATATATTTGAAGTAAAATGTATATAAACATGATAAAATATATATAAAATAAAATTTATGTCTGGAAACTATACCTTCTATGGTACAATACGATACTGAATGGATACAGAAAGGAAATTATAGATCTTAGTTGTTGGATAGAGTTTTGGGAAAGGTTATAGAATTCTGCCTGCCTCTGAAAATCGCAGGAGCTGGCCAGTTTTCTGTTTGATTCAACTCTTAGGGCTACAAGCTAGAAATAGAAGTTCCCAAAAATCTTTACTTTCTTCCTTCTTTAGTTTCATTACTTCTTAATGAATTCATATGTATTTCAAAGGGAAATTGAGACAAGTTTGAAGGAAAGCTATTATAATGATTTTAACCTGGAGTCAGCATTCTTTAATTTTTCAGATAGAGATTTTGTTCAAATTATCTTTATTAATATTTTTCTTATTGTTTCCACATATTTAAGCCCTTTTTAGTTGACTTACATGTAAAAAAATAAGTCAAAGTCATAATCCATTCTAAATTTGTTTCTCATGTTTTATACATGTTATATATCATGAAGAGTTTTGGTGTGGATACTGCTTTTGTTTTGACAACAAATTAGAGAGTACTTATATAAATTGCCATGATACAGGTAAGCAGTTAGTCAGAAAACAAAACATGTAGGTCTAAAACACTGGCAAATTAGCTCTTTATAAAAGAACATGTCCCATTCTGAAAACAAATTGTTACCTTATTATTGATGTTGAGTCTACATTAAGAGGTTTTCCATTTCCAAACAAAAGTACTAAACAATGTTGGAGAAACAAATAATCAAACAAAGTATAGTGGCTATAGTTTCCATCCTTTCATATTAGAAATACAAAAAGGGGAAAGATTTTATATTCATGACCCACTACTTTTATTTCTTACATGAATAACTGCATAGCTTTTGCAAATTCCAATTGGAAAGGTGAAGAATTTTAAAAGAAATAATTATAATTTTTTTTAGGTTCAACTATGCAGAAAATTGAATCTGGATATTGGGTCTATTAAGGCCCTGATGATAAGGCTTTTGGCAGTAGATGCTGTTTTGTCTTTAGGGAATGTACAACTATTCTAAGATCCCTGAGCCCTTCATAAGAGCCAAGGATATGTATCCTAAGACCTTCAGCACTTTTACTCAGATAATGTGCTCTCTGGGTCTTCCTTTTAAAAATCAGCTTCACGTGGATTGTGCTGCATCTACTATTCCTAAGTGGTTGTGATGCATCACTGTACTTTCCCTTAGGCTTAACAGCCATGTGCCATCTAGAATGAGATAATATTTTAATAAATATTTTTGCTGTGTATAACTTTTATCAAACATCTATCTTTTGAGGTTATTAATCCTTTTAAGATAAAGTTTTCTTAAGTCCATACAATAAGGTAAGTGTCATTATTAATATGATGTAAAAGTTGGATGAGCTACAGGACCTTAGCTCATGATTAATGACAGAACTCGGAAAGTAGGTGAAGTGAATCTAATATATGTCTCTACGGAAAGATTCTACAGCCCTGCATGATTTACGAGTCAGTAGCTGTTGGTAACTTGTAAAGGATACAAAACCAAGCTCAGGGAAAGCAAACATTCAGAATGAAATCCAACAGAAAAAAATAAATTTATTTGTACTTGTATACTTTGGCAACCTGGTTGTCTAAAAAAGTTGAATATTGTGTGTATATTAAAAATCTTCTTTCTTTTTAATTGTTTAGATTTGAAAAGAGCCAATTCTAAACCACAGATATACAAGAAGGCCATTTTCTCAAACAAGAGTCACCCTTTAACAGTAAGTAAACTCAGAATTTATTATATTAAATGATCTAAAGAATACCTTTTTTTAATAACATGAAAAGTCTTCACAGTATTTTGTTGTAAAATTTCTTAGAGAGCTTTTATTTTGACTATCAGAATACTTTCTACTTTATAATTTACCAGTCAATTGAGGGAGAGCACAGAAATATATTGTCTAAGACAAAACAAAGATAAGAAAGTGACATAGAAGTTGAGAAATAACTCATATCCTTAGAAATAAGTCTCAAATATAATTATATTATTTTGGGTTCCTGTGATACTTATAATTAAATAAAGATAAAAATTAAAATACTTTGCCTGGTTCCCTATAGGCCATGCAACCATGATTCCTGGTCACAAAGAAGAAAGTATCCAGTATCCAAATACTCAAGTTCCAGCTCCCAAAGGTCAAAGCTGGAATAATTTGAACAATAAAATAAATAATCATAGAATTAGATTATAGCTCTCCCATATAATATATATATATATATATATATATATATATATATATATATATATTCATGATTCCATACTGATATCAATAAATGCTGAATAAATAAAGAAATGGAAAGAGAACTTTTCCTTACAGAGGAATTTAAATTAATAAACATAAAAGGAATAAGGGAAATAGAAAATTGCCACTAAAGAACCGCAGTAATAATTGCGCAGGCAAGATGAATACTAAAATTGATTAAAGTGTAAGGTGAAACTGAGTATGTGCATAACCTCAAAGTATCTCCCCCCCCCCCAAAAAAAAAATATTTATTAACTACAAAGGGAAAAATAGTGTCTTTACAGGGGGAATCCTGGCAGACACCACCTTAACCAGGTGATTAAGGTTAATATTGCAGTAATAAGATATACTGAGCTCATACCCCCTGAAAAGGGCACATCATGCCTTTGTTATTCTTCTAAAAAAATCCATAACCTCTTCCTAGCTGGTTTAACTCGGTGGATAGAGCATCAGTCTGCGGAGTGAAGGGTCCCAAGTTCAATTGTGGTCAAGGGCACGTGCCCAGGTTGCAGACTTGATCCTGAGTAGGTGGTGTGCAGGAGGCAACCAATCAATGCTTCTCTCATCATTGATGTTTCTATCTCTCTCTCCCTCTCCTTTCCTTTCTGATATCAATAAAAACATATTTTTAAAAAATCCATAACCTCAACTGAATCATGAGAAAAACCTTAGACAAACCTAAATGGAGAGACATTCTGTAAAATAACCTGACTAGCATTCTTTTTTCTTTTTTCAAAAAACTTAAAAAATATATTTTTATTGATTTCAGAGAGGAAGGGAGAGGGAGAGAGAGATAGAAACATAAATGATGAGAGAGAATCATCGATTGGATGACTCCTGCAGGACCCACACTGGGGATTGAGCATGTGCCCTGACTGGGAATCTGAACCATGACCTCCTGGTTTATAGGTTGATGCTCAACTACTGAGCCATGCCAGCCAGGACTGACCAGCATTCTTTAACAGTGTCAGGAGCATAAAAGACAAGTAAAGACAGAAGACAGAACTGTACATTACATATATGCAGTATTTCATATATCACTTATACCTCAATAAAGCTGTTTTAAAAAAAAAAAAAAGACCGAGGAACTGCCACAGATTTGAAGGAGAATTAGGAGACATGAAACAAATGTAATGTGTGATCCTAGATTGGGTCCTAGAACTGAGAAAGGACATTAATGGAAAAAAACTGGTGACATCTAAGCAAAGTAGCTTATAGTAGTGTGCCAGTGTTAATATATTAGTTTTGATCACTGTACTATGGTCGTAATATGTAATGTAACAGTAGAGGCATCTAGATGAAGGGTACATGGGAACTCTACTATCTTTGCACCTTTTCTGTAAGCCTCAAATTATTTCCAAATTAAAAAATTCTTTAGAAATAATATTGGAGTCACTAAATAATAATTCTTAAATTAGATTTTCACTGATTTATAGAGTGAGTTTCTGTTTGTTTACAAATCTTAGAACAGGGAGAAGCAGGGGCATTGTTTTCATCAAGAGTATCCTTTGAGCTGAAACCAGTTTGGCTCAGTGGATAGAGCGTCAGCCTGCGGACTGAAGGGTCCCAGGTTCGATTCCGGTCAAGGGCATGTACCTTGGTTGCGGGCACATCCCCAATAGGAGATGTGCAGGAGGCAGCTGATCAATGTTTCTCTCTCATCGATGTTTCTGGCTCTGTACTCTCTCCCTTCCTCTCTGTAAAAAATCAATAAAATATATTAAAAAAAAAAAAAAAGAGTATCCTTTGAGCTGTGTTTCTTAATTCTGTCCATATGCTGCCATCCTTACCCCTGCAAGTTTGATCTCCACTTAATACCTCTGGTCTCTTGGAAAACCTATGAGTGGGAAAATTCCACAAGATTTTGCCTCCTTGGGAACCACCTCTTAGCCAAGTTTTTAGTTGGTGATAAGCAGTGTCTGATTTGAATGTTCAAACCAAAACTGTGAAAGTATTTAGATCTCATGAATAATCTCTTGATCCACCAGTCTTCATTACCCAAGACAGCATTTGAACAAGAACTTAGAATTAGTAGTCTTATATTTAAATAGTGAAGATGAGAGAATATCATATTACTTTTAGGTAAAATGTCTGGGAATTCAGTAAATACAAATAGTACTGAGCGAACTTTGTTTCTTAAAGGAAATCAATAGCAGCATTGAGTTTGCTTAGAAAATCAGTTTAAGTTTAGAAAAACCTAAAGCCACTTTAAATCCAAACATGAAGCTCTTGAAAGATGAAGTAAGTGGCAAGTATGTACTTTGGCATCTGAAAATCAGTATTTGGTTTGAATTTTGTCTGGGCATGAAAAATGAAATGCTAAGTATTAGGAATTCTTCCCCAGATTTTTTGCCGGTCTCTTGTGTGTTCAACCAATTTAGTAAATCACACTATTTCATAGATTTTAGGTGAAACAAGAACAGAAGTTGTACCTAGAGTAGTCAAATTCATAGAGACACAAAGTAGAATGGTGGCTATCAGGGGTGAGTTGGAGAGTTAGTGTTTGATGAGTATAGTTTCAGTTTGGGAAGATGAAAAAGTTCTGGAGCTGGATAGTGGTGATGGTTACAAAACATTGTGAATGTACTTAATGCCACAGAACTGTACATTTAAAAATGATTAAGATGGTAAATTTTTGTTATCTATATTTTACCACATTTTTAGAGTAAAAAAGAAACAACAGAAGTCTTCAGCAGTTACATTTTGCTTCTTTGCTAGGGTGCCCAGTTATGAGAAGAATCTCTGCCTGTGAACATTTATCCTTAGGAATATATATATATTTTTTTTTAATCTAGAGATGATTCCCCAGACATCATTTTCCAACTGGTAGTTTAAATGGCTCCTATATCATAAATTGTGCAAATAAAAAGAAACGTGGTACACAGGAAACAGTAGAGCTGGGGTGGTTGGGTTATTTGTGGAGTTAATTTATAACTAAGACAAATGAATCTATAAAAAGAAGAAAAATCCCATAAGAAATATGTTAACTGATGGTAAGGGAGAAAAAAGAGTTTAGATAAAAGATATCTGAACTTGTTTGGTCCCAGTGATTTTATGGCTGAAGAATTCAATTATAGGTGTACTGGGTGGAGCAAATCACAATTCTGTAAATTACTGATAGGACATAACGATCTTTATCATTTTCTGTATGTGCTCACATGCAGAGTTCAGTCTAGCTCTCTGTAAATAGACTCTCAGCCTACCTATACTGCTATGTACGAATTCAGGGCTTCAGGATTAGAACATAGATAATGTTTACTTTTAAAACCTTAGAAGCAGGTAGGTGATACATTTAGAAATAAGATTAGGAACTAGAACAAAATGACTTTTGCTTTTGAATTTTGGCCATTGGATTTGTCTCATTTTACATTAAATCTTTTTAAGACATTTTTATTACTGAAAACTTGTGAAAATATTTTTTTTTTAAAAAAAATACACAATCACATATAAACTACTACTTCTTAAAATCAAAAGACCTATCTCTCGTACAGGCAGGTATGTTCTTTGGCATCTGAAAATGAGTATTTGGTCTGAATTTTAAGTGTTAGGCATGAAAAATGAAATGCTAAGTGGCTTTAAGTGATTTTAAACTACTTCTGCTTAGTTTCTTACAGTCCTTGTTAGCATGTTTACATTTTTTACTTAATGACAGTTATAGTACATGTAGCATTTTTGCTTCTTTCACTGTTAGATCATTTAAATCTCTGTGTCCACTTAGCTTTTAAATTTGTCATAATGGCAGCATGATAGTTAATCTTAGTGATATCACATAATTTACTAAGCAGTTTTAGGTAGTTTTTTATTACTATACAATTACTATTTATTCTAATATCATTACATATAGTGAATATCTTCATGCACATATTTCACTTTTTAAAAATTATTTTCTTTAGCTAAATCGCTGAAAGAGAAGTTTCTATGTCAAAGAGTTTAAGCAACTATATTACTCTTGCATTATTCGTTTTTATGACATTTCAAATTACTCTAAGGATATATTAGTAGCAAAATGAATAAAAACTTATTTCCAAAGCATACATGATTCCTATTTATTTAAATATATTATTTTTTAGCCAAGGATTTGTATGTGTTACAGTGAGATGAAAATAGAGAGGAGTTTCACCAATTACTTAGATATCAGAAAAATATGGGATTTTTGATGGTTTTGGGGTCGGGTGAAAAAAACCTATTTAATTGCAGGGAAGTTGTAGATTATTTCCTAAGGCTGTGTCAAATTTAAATAAAATATAAAGACTGTGCTGTGGGTGCCTCATGGCCTTTAAGTCCACACCTTGCTAGCTGTTAGAAAGGAATGACTGCTTTAAAAATACAGCTTAAACAAAATAGGACGTCCAGAGCGTTGTATACAATCCAGCTTTTTAAAATATTAAGTTAAAGATTTTAATTTGTGATTTAAATATTTGAGGGGAATATTAATTTTAGAATAAAGATATAACAGAAAATTTGAATATACAAAATTATGT